AAACATCTGACCCCCAAGTATGGGAGGTAATCAAGCCTAATGTTTCTCCACTCTCAGATTCACACATTATGGTAATGTACATGAATAATTAACTATCAGTGACACTATGGCCTGGGTCATGGGGCACTCAATACAATCATCAAGCACATTTCAACAATCAATATCAAGTTGTTCACGGTAATCACCGGCCGCTAAAAAAAACTAGTGTAGGCTCCCATCTCACCCAGCCAATTGTTACATTAACCCATGCTGTTCATATTCCCATAGTCGCAGTCAGGATCAGTTTTGGCATTTCACTAAAATAACAAAGGTCCTGTGGAGGAGGAGGGGGTGGAGGAGGAGGGGGTGGAGGAGGAGGGGGTGGGGGGGTGGGGTGGGGGGGGGGAGAGCATGTATAAACAGCTAATAAACCCACTGACAAACTCTTGCTTGGAATAAGTTAACTGTACATGCAGTCAGTAACAACAATAGTATCAGCCCACTGGTCAATATGCTAGTGACATCTGGCCAAGCCCCTCTCATCACTTAAATACCACAACAGAGATAACATACAAATGCTCAAAGCATCAGCTGTGATAGGTTATGTATAATTCAGCGGGGCAACAATTTGTTTGCTATCCTTACAATAACAATAAGAAGAATAAGTCACCATCAAATATCCAAATGAGAACAACAAAACAAGGAGCAGAACATGCTTACAGCAACTGATAAAGAATGAAAACAGGATTCATGTAGCTCTAGCAGACTTTGAACAAATGCACTTGCACATAGCCAAAAGTGCAAATTCCTCAGGTTTAAATGGTTCAGTGTTTTCTTCAACATGAGGGGTGAGTCAAGCATTATCCTTACTGCAGTTATATCACAACTTTGTTGACCGCACTGATTTATTAGCCCTTTTCTATTCAAGTTCACTGCTGTGCAGGTGTGGTCTGCAACTCTGCAGCACACATCATAGAGAGATGCTTATAGAAGACCTGAAGTCCAAACTTTGGATTAAATGCAGAGGATTTGCTAAACAAGGGTGGTGTGATCTTATATGCTAATTCATATTCAAAGACCTCTGCCCACAATGCTGACACTACAAAAACTGCTTGAGGTGCTGAAGCATAATCACGGTCCTGATTTTGTCGTAGACTTGTGCCTGTTTGGTCCCCTGCAAGCAACCTTTCGTAGAAGATGATTCACCACTAATGAAGAAATAAAACTATTCATTCATGGCTCACATGGCAGCCTAAAACATTTTAAATAATGGAATACAAAAGTCTGCTGAAAGATGAGCAAAGTGTATTGAACAGCAAGTGGTGTATTTATCTTTTCTGAAAGTTAACAAATATGAAGCTGCAGCACAGATAATTTTCGACTCATGCTGTAACCAGAGATGTCTCTCTTAAGTGATCTCCTACACAAGAATTATGACTTCATGTTAAAACTTGTTCAGTTAACTTCATCAGCTACCCTAAACTTCTGCTGTGTAAAATCTGTCCAAACATACCTCTCCTGTCAAATTTCTGTCTGCAAAGTTCCACACAAAGGCTACTTTACTGTGTTTGCTAATTTATATCTCAGTATTATAAATAGCAGCTTCACTGATGGTCTTCACAGCAATCAGCTATTCCACAAATCACTTTACATATCTCCACGCAGACCAATTAGCTTAATGAAAGATGTGAATGAGTTCTTGAACAAATCTGTCATAAATATGGCAGAGCAACATGTATCCCACATCACAATTTTAAAAAAGCACACAAGGAAGGTGTAAACAAGCCAAAAACAAAAAAATAACTATAAAATATTTTTTTTTACATTTTAAGTCAGTATTGTTATAAAACTATATATAACTAATGCTTCATTCAAGATGAATGTGGAACATAGCATAACAGCCATTCAGAAGCCAAAACTGGCACATTCTGGTGGTAAATGACAATAATTAAAAGGCAACTGGGTAGACCACACTGACTCGCAAATCACTTCCAGAACAGCCTTGCTTAACAGGCATGAACTTCACACCAACAGTTTCCTCAGACAGTTTTTTACGTTCCAGGTACACCAGCCATCCTGGTTATACGAGTCAACTCTCATGACTGGCACCGATACTATATTATACACATGCGTGCGCATGGCTAGGCAAGTGGTTATAGGGTGATACCAGGCACTGCATATACCAAGTGTGAAGTAACTGAAGCAACCCAGCTACATATTACACATATAAAATCTGTAATGAGCCAAAAATGGAAGGGCCATATCTAAACTAGAAGGAGCAGTATTTAACACTGATATCCTTCAGTGCCATTGAATGGAGGGCACTATTTGTGGTTATGTCTTTTCACCAAAACTTTTGTTTCATTTTAGCTCTAATGAATTTTTAATGGACTCCCGTCCTAGAAACAGATTCTGAAACACTAAGAACTGCAGCAAGCTAATTAAAGGAGACCGCAAAAGCCACACACACACACACAAAAACATAGCGCCTTAGGAGCAAAAAGAATGAGAGAATCACAGCTATAAATACCCCCCCCCCCTAACAGTGCAGGTGTCATACCCCAAACACCATCCGCGGACTCTTCTAAATATCTCAGGGGTAGGAAACACCCTGCCTGCCGGCCATAAAAGGAAAACACAATGTGCCACAACAAATGCTGTTACAATTAAATGTCGATATAACAGGGTAGTCTTGCACAGACAGCAGTCTTAGAAATATATAAATAGCCTTCAGCGTGGGTTTCCTACCCCTGCTGCAGTTGTATCTGTTACTTGCCCAAAAGAAACACATCTTGTTCTATATTGCGTTTTCTAATATATTCCCCAGACACAGAAACTCTGTCAATAATTATCAAGTTACTTATAATGAAATTTAAATCCTAAATAACAGTCTTCATTACTATCTTAAGTTCTACAGCTGTCTCCATTGGTGTGTTTAGATTTAAGATAGACATAAGGTAGCAAATATCTTCTAAGCTTCCCGATCAATATGCACCTTTGTGTATTCACACCTCATGAAAACTCACAAATACACAATATATGCACTAATACCTCACATTCATAAAGATATCACTAGCCTCCAGAAAATTCATCACTAAATTATAACTGTCCTGACCCAAGAAAAACTTGGGCTAATGCTGAAACATGCGCAACTTAATCTCAACCTTTTCTCTGACAAACTACCATGTGTATAACAGCACTGGATCGCTCACAACAGGTTTTGCTGATTGGAGGTTAGGGTGGAACCCCAACACAAAATATATAGATATGTTTATAGTAAACAAAAGATGATACCAAAATGCTGCCTTTGCTGAATCAGAATGTCAACACAGTGCCACGCAGAGAAATCAACAGGCGTAAATATCCACACTGAAGTAATGTTACCAACAGCTGTACATTTTCCCAACTAGTACAGGAATCCACACATGCCCACTCCCAACTTGTATATGCCACACAAAGAAATCACTTGTACATTTTCATTTTAGTTTGTACATACCACACCAAAGCTGCCATATGTGTGCACACACCTCTAGTTGTATACAACACAAGAAGGCATCAATGTGTGTACCTTCCAAGTTGCAAACCACACCAATCCGTCAATACGTGTATGCCCCAACCTGTATATACCATACATAAAAGCCTGCCCCATTCTCCAGCTGGTTAACAACACTTAGAGAAATATACTTATATTCCTTGAGTTTGTAATTACCACCCGTAACAATATGTGTATATATCAAATGTGATTCTCTGGATGGTCAATGTCACAGATGGATTCAACTTATGTATGCCTACCAAGTTTCCACACACGCATATTTATACAAGAATCATGTGTACTCCTCCAGGTATCACTTCTTTTGGCCAAACTATTTCTCAGCACCGAACACTTCCTTGCACAGGATTTCTGAACAGTGCTAGCATCTCCTACAGAAGTATTTCAGGGCACTAAAAAACACTGCAAAAGATTTCCAGCCAATTCTGTCTCCAGCCAAACTGCTTTTTTGCACAAGTTTTCTGGCCAGTACTATTTCCAGTCAAACCATTTCTCTTTATCAAACTATTTCTCTGGACAAAACTATTTCTTTGCACAAGATTTCTGGCCAGTGTAGCATATAAATAAACTAGTTCACAAAACCACTATGTCCCAGAAATCAAGTTTTTCCAGTAACCAAAAAAAAACTGGCAAATGTTGCCTGCATATCATGAGAATCTTGTGTGAGTGGAAATCAGACATGGATGTACTGTACGCCAATAAACCTAACAACAGTTCCCACCTGCATGAAAACCACACTGAACAAATCAGCTTTGCTTTATCACAATTGTATTCTCAGATGGGTTTCAGCACTGACAATTTCAAGATAAGCCAGTAATGGCATCACATAGCTGGATGGCACCTCGAAACAGACTTCTCCCATCATGTAAATGTCCACATGTTGCTGTGATAGTGCTGTAAATATGAGACTAGCTGACCAGTCACAAGAAATATCATCCTCGCTGTACATCACAAGAAGGACAGTCGTCCAACCGAAGTTCATATTTTCAATCAGAAAACATTATTAGTCTGCAGGGAATAACACCAGTGCCGCATTCTACAATCCTTCCATTTATGAACGACAAGTTAAAGATCTAATTTCTTTAGAAATCAAACAAGAACATGGACGGCGTTTGAATCTGCGAGCCAGGTAATCAGAGAGCTCAACTTTTGAGCAATAACTTATCATCAGTCACATAAGACTTGAGTAACCTGATGCACTTCTGCTCTTGTGTGTGTATTGTGTGTGTATTGTGTGATCGGGTCACTTAATAAACTAGAGCCCCAGTAACTGAAAGTTTTTACTCGTGTGCTGTGTTGTAAATCCAATACCATGCAGTCACAAGATAAACTTGCCTCACAAATTTGCTTTCATTTCCATTTCTGAGATGATGTAGAAATTCCCCACAAGATAACATGAAAAAAATTTGTATGCGAATAAAACAAATAAAGAAAAAACTTAATACTGAACTAGCCTAGTCTGTCACATTCCTTAAGCCACTGTCTGTTGGTGTGAAGGCGGGGCCCGAGTATTCTGTTGGTAATTGTTTTCGCGTGGTAGTTGGCTTGGGTGCTGCTGTTGCTGCTGCTTTTGCAGCAGTGGCCGGTAATACTCTTCCTCGTGCTCCGCATCAACCGCCTGGGCTTCCGCCACATACAAAGAAGGATCAATGGTTTTAGGTATAGGCTTAATCTCTGTGCACAATTCTTGTTCAATCTTGTGAAGGGCAAATCTGCAACAACAACAACAAAAAAAGTTAATTCCAATTACCCAAGGAGACAGTGGATGTAAAAAAACAAATGTCCCACCACAATTGATATTTGTTTTAATGTTTAAACGTATCGGTGTTTCATCTCTAAAAATCCTGGGAAACAATAGTGCCTGCAGCAGATGATGCTAGTGCCGTGGTTAGGATCAGGGCTAGCTAAGGCAGACCCTTCTTAGTTTTTAAAGGCTCTGTTTTAGATCTTAGACTTAGTCATACCGAATAAGAAAATTACAACTCATACTTAGAAATGATACTGTGAGCCCTCTAAATGAGCTCCATGTGACAACTGGAAAGATACGTGGAAGGAGAGACAGAGGAAGTCAGCGTGAGAAGATTCTTGACAGCCTTGACAGAATGGCACAGAGGGGTGTGAACATACAAACTGATATATGCAGCTGTAGATCACAGATTGTGGAGAGGTATGATTGCCCACGTCAGATGGTAAGGCACTTGACCACCAAATCAGAAAGACTGTTAATGCGGTACAACATAGGGAGACCTTGTAGAAAGACCAAAAAGAAACTACTATCTCAGCTTGACTGCTGGCATAAAGGTCCATCCAGGTCTTTTGTGTATTTTACTTGATACTTATAGTATGCACTGCCATACAAACATAACATGCTTTGAAAATAAACTACAACTGCGGTATAAAAGCAGAAGCGCTGAGTGTAGGATGGGCAGACCTGCATTATTTGTGGCCCTTTGAAAATAAAGTTGCGCGTAACGTTCTTGGGCAAAAGACAATGCCTGGGAAGATGCTTGAGGGACATGAAAACCAAACAAGTCATCCAATAAATAGGCAACCTTATAGCAGAGAAACATCCTAACACACAAACTATAACAGAGAAACATTATAATAGAAACATAACAGATAAACATTATAACAGAGAAACACTTCAAAGAAATCTTATACCAGAAACATCATAACAGAGAAACATTATACCAGAAACATAACAGAGAAACATTATACCAGAAACATCATAACAGAGAAACATTATACCAGAAACATAACAGAGAAACATTATACCAGAAACAACAGAGAAACACTATAACTGAAACCTTATACCAGAATCATCATACCAGAGTAACACTATAACAGAGAAACATTACACCAGAGAAACATCACACCAGAGAAAAATTGTAACAAACAACTGTCACCATGTCTTGTTAGCCTTTTGCCATATAAAAATCGTTAACAGAAATGCATCCTTATCATTCTCTAAAACTACTCTCAGAAACTTGAGTTAGAGAAGAAAAAGTCTTGGCAGCTTTTATAAACATCTGGGGAGCTAAACCCCTAGACCACAAGCAGAAGACACGTGTGAACGGTCCACAGCTACATCGAGGCTGTCAAATCACTAAAAAAAAATAATTCACATTAACTGTTTTTACTTTTTCATAAGAAACAGATGTTTGAAACAGATGCCCAACTCACTAAATATAAACAGAGCATAGAATTAAATGCTTTCCTTAGCTCTGACCATGATAAGCATGGGTATGTTGACTAAGCCTTGGTAAGCAAAGTGACGCCGTACGAGATTATTGTTTGACGCCACTGAGATTTTCATGTAACAATAATGCATTTTGTAAACTTATTTTTTAAACCTATAGTATCTTAAAACTTTGTGTGTGGTTTTACTCAACATATCTGCGCATTGCAGTTACAGCCAGTAGCACACCTGTTATACAGGCAGTCGCCACTGCCCCAAGACTTCCTGCTTTCTCCTGGCAATATGTTTATCTCCGCACTATGACAAGTACACAGCATTCTTACCTGTCGTCATAAGTGATGAGGTTAATGGCCACACCCAGGTGCCCATACCTGCCTGATCTGCCAATTCTATGAAGATAAGTCTCAGCATGCTTAGGGAAATCAAAGTTTATAACCACGTTGACAGCCTGAATGTCAATACCTCTAGTGAACAGATCTGGGGAAAGGAAAGGCATCAGCTTAACAAAATAATAATGTAAACTATAAATAAATATATAAATAATAAAAACTACAATTGGACAGTTAATAAGCTGTTAGCGATGAATTACTTCACACACCATTAGACAGATCCCTGGGTGCTCCAATTTCCTGCTCGACAACTGCTTATTATGACACTTCACACATACCCCCCCCCCCCCCCCCCTTTATTTTTCAACCTATTTGCAAACAAAACTCCTTACACTGATGGTGCAAGATACAACTGAGCAGATCTAATTTTATCAAACAATTAATGCTGAAACTCGAGTAAAGCAAATCATTCAAAGAGTCAGCTGCAGAAATGGATTTTCTTCACTACAACATCAAGGCAATAAACAAATCTGAATTAAAAAAGCATTAGAGGGGCTGGTGAATTCAACAGCAAGATATATTTTTGATGTGACAGGTCCCAATCTCAAGAAAGGTTACAGATTTAATTTTTAACAGTCTTGTGCCAGTTAACATTACCATTTTTCTTCATCAAGTTGAAATAACCTGGTGAATTTCACAGCAACCTATACTGAACTCCTGTTTGATGTTAAAACTCAGCTAAAGCAAATCATTCAAATTTATTAGCAGCAGAACTGGATACAATAATTTTAGTCCCTGCTGCAACATCAGATAACCTATAATATAATCATCTTGCTTCAGAATTAAGACAGGTTAACTAGGCAAATGTCAAATAATCTGGTGGATTTTACAGTTACTAATATATAGATAGACAGACAGACAGACAGACAGACAGACAGATAGATAGATAGATAATCAACCCTGCTTTAAACAAACATTGTGAACACTGGCTGATAAGTCACAACACCCACCACCAGATAAACTGATGTTCATAACGGTTGCAACATCATGGAACAATCTTAAAGCCTACAGGAAAAAGTGATGACTGAAAATGTAAACTAAGAAACCATGGCAGTATGTCTGACATGAAACAGAACTGGATAAACTGATTTTCATCACAGCTACAACATCAAGAAATAAACTTAATACCTACAGAAGAAAGATAACAAATTTAACCTATAAAATCCTAGCTGGATGTATATCATCAATTGCTTTCAAGCAACAGCAACATCAAGCTAAAATAATGTTGCAAGCTCAGCTAAAGTAAATCATTCAAATACATCAGAAGCAGAACTGGTAAAAAATGATTTTCATCACTGCTGCAACATTCACTATTTATTTAATACAGGGCAATAAAATAAGCCTCTTTCTTTCTTAAACGGTAACTAAGTGTTGACTAATCTTTTTTTTAATACCTAAAAATCACTACCAGTATGTATGCCATTAAATTGTTTTAAACCGACAAAAAAAATGTTGCAAACTCAGCTAAAAAGCACATCACTCATATATATCAGAAGCAGAACTGGATAAAGTGATTTTCATCATTGTTACAACGCCAGGAAATAATATGAATACTACAGAAGAAAAGAGACAACTGAAAATTTAACCTATGTAATCCTAACTGGGTGTAGATCAATTTCTTTGAAACATACAATAGCAACATCGAGGTAAAAAACATGTTGCAAGCTCAATTTAAGTAAATCGCTCATATACATCAGAAGCAGAACTGGATAAAATTGATTTTTCTCACTGTTGCAACATCATGAAATTAACTAGATGACTACCTACAGATGAACAGAGATGACTGAAAAATTCAACCTAAGAAATCTTAGCAGCATGTATATCACTAATTTGTTTTAAAATGACAATTTCAAGCGAAAATAATGTGGCAAGCTCAGCCAAGATAAATCATTCAAACACATCAGAAGCAGAACCAGATAAAATGATTTTCATCTCTGTTGCAAGATCACGTAATAAACTCAACACCTACAGAAGTAGAAAAATAAAATATAACCTAAAAAATCCTACCAGTATGTCTAAATATTTAATATTGTTTAAAACAGACACAAAATAATGTTGCAAGCTCAGTCAAAGGAAATCACTCAAACACATCAGAAGCAGAACTGGATACTATGATTTTCATCACTATTGCAACATCACCTTAATACCCACAGAAGAAAAGAGATAACTGAAAATATAACCTAAGAAATCCTAGCAGTGTGTCTGACATTAACAAGTTTAAAACAGACACAAAATAATGTTGCAAGCTCAGCTAAAGCAAATCACTCATATACATCAGAAGCAGAACTGGATGAAATGATTTTCATCATTGTTGCAACATTACAAAAAAAAAAATTACCAAAATTGAGATATAGGTTAAAGGTTAAACAACCTCACATTTTTCAGCAACTGATATATAGATATGCTGTTGAAACTCAGCTTCAGCAAATCACTCAAATGCATCAGCAGCAAAACTGGATATAATAATTTTCAACATTGTTCCAACATCAGGACAAAATTAAATACCCACAATTGGGTTCTCATTGGTTTTAGAGAGCTCATGTACTGTGTTGTGGATGTCTGTGTCGCCCCCCCCCCCCCCCCCCCCCCCTTTCAACCACAGCTGCTACTGAACGCCCGAAACCCTGAGGCTACAACTCAATCTGGATGGCAGATCAACAAGGCAAATCGCAGACACCAAGTTCAACCTGCGGTTCTATGCGGGCAAGGATGTATTAAAGATACTGTTTAATTTTTGTGTGATAAAGGTAATACTCTACCCAGCAAATAGCAAGAAAATTGTGTGCGTGTGAGGGTGCGCACACAGGGCTACAAAATATGCTTTTTCTTTCTTTAACCTAAATAAACTCTAAAAACACTAACTAAAGATTTGACCTAAGAAACCATATCAGTATTTATGTAATTCAAATTGATTTACAGAAAAAAAATAATGTTGCAAGCTCAGCCAAAGCAAATCACTCATATACATCAGAAGCAGAACTGGATACAATGATTTTCATCATTGTTGCAACATTTAAATAACAATAGAGTGCAAATAAAATATGCATTTATTTCTTTAACTGTATCTTCAAAAGTGCTGACTGATAATTTTTGCCTAAGAAACCCTATCAGAATGTATGTCCTTAAATTGTTTTAAACTGACAAAAAAATGTTGCAAACTCAGCTAAAGCAAATCACTCATATATATATCAGAAGCAGAACTGGATAAAGTGTTTTTCATCACTGTTGCAACCTCATGAAAAAAAAACAAATACCTACAGATGAAAAGAGATGACTGAAAATTCAAACCAAAGAAATCCTAGCAGTGGGTATATCAATTTGTTTTAAACAGACAAGGCAACCTCAATTGAAAATAATGATGCAATCTCAGCCAAGGTAAATCACTCAAACACATCAGAAGCAGAACTGGATGAAATGATTTTCATCATTGTTGCAACATCACGTAATAAACTTAATACCTACTGAAGAAGAATGAGGACTAAAATATAACCTAAGAAATCCTAGCAGTGTGTCTGACATTAACAAGTTTAAAACAGACACAAAGTAATGTTGCAATCTCAGCTAAAGCAAATCAGTCATATACATCAGAAGCAGAACTGGATACAGTGATTTTCCTCATTGTTGCAACATTACAAAAATTAACAAAATTGAGATATAGGTTAACGGTCAAACAACGTCACTAATTTTACAGCAACTGTTAAATAGAATATGCTGTTGAAACTCAGCTTTAGCAAATCACTCAAATGTATCAGCAGCAGAACTGGATAAAATAATTTTCAACACTGTTGCAGCATCAGTGATAATTTAAATACCTACAATTAGGTTCTTATTGGTTCTATAGAGCTCACGTACTGTGTTGTGTAAGTCTTGGTCCCCCCCCCCCCCCCTTTTCCAGCTCCTACTGAACACCAAAAACCCTGATTCTACAAAATCTCAATCTGGATGGCAGACCGACAAGGCAAATCGCAGACACCCAGTTCAACCTCCGAAGAAGTTATAATTGGGACGCCTGTAAAGGCCGCACCAGCCTGATTCAACCTGCTGTTCCATGCAGACAAGGATGTATTAAGGGATGCTGTGTGCTGAATTATCATGTGACACCTGTGGTGAATATAGAAATACCCATGTGCAAAAGTGATACTTTACCACAGCAAATAAGAAAATTGTTGTTTGTGTGTGTGTGCTCACAAGCACACCAGGCAATAAAATTTACTGTTCTTTCTTTAACCTAAATTAATTGTAAAAATGTAGACTGAAGATTTGACCTAAGAAACTATCACTGTAATTAAAATTAATGTAGACAAAAATAATGTTGCAAGCTCAGCTAAAACATATCACTCATATACATCAGAAGCAGAACTGGTTAAAGTGTTTTTCCTCACTGTTGCAACATCATGAAAAAAACTAAATGAATACCTACAGATGAAAAGAGATGACTAAAAAATCAACCTAAGATATCCCACCAGTGTGTATATTTTTAAATTTTTTTTAAACAGGCAACAGGAACCTTAAGCGAAAATAATGTTGCAAGCTCAGCCAAAGTAAATCACTCATATATAATCAGAAGCAGAACTGGATAAAACATTTTTCATCACTGTTGCAACATCACGTTAATAACCTAATACCTACAAAAGAAAAGAGATTACTGAAAATATAACCTAAGAAATCCTAGCAGCATGTCAGAATATTAAATATTTTAAAAAAGACAAAAAAATTGTTGCAAACTAAGCTAAAGCAAATTACTCATTTACATCAGAAGCAGAACTGGATAAAATGATTTTCATCACTGTTGCAACATTACAATAATCAACAATTTAGGATACAGGTTAATGGTCAAATAACCTTACTAATTTTACAGCAACTGATAATTAAGATATGCTGCTGAAACTCAGATAAAGCAAATGAAAATTTATCACCAGCAGAACTGGATATACAAATTTTCAACACTTGCAATACCAGGAATAAATTAAATACCCAAGATTGGGTTCTCACTGGTTCGAAGAGCTCACGTACTGTGTTGTGTATGTCTGTGCCCCCCCCCCCCTCCTGAACGCACAAAAACCCTGAGGCTACAAAATCTCAATCTGGATGGCAGACTGACAAGGCAAATCGCAGACACCCTGTTCAACCTCTAAAGAAGTTATAACTGTGACGGCCACAACAGCCTGATGCTAACTGCGGCCTGATGTGCAAAAGTAATACTTTACCCCAGCAAATAGCAAGAAAATTGTGTGTGTGCACGCGCTCATGCGCACACGGGGCTAAAAAAATAAGCTTTCCTTTCTTTAACCTAAATTAACTGTAAAAAATGTCGACTAAAGATCTGACCTTAGAAATACTATCAGTATGTATTTAATTAAAAACTGACTGAAACAGACAAAAATTATGTTGCAAGCTCAGCTAAAACATATCACTCATATACATCAGAAGCAGAACTGGATAAAGTGTTTTTCCTCACTGTTGCAACATCATGAAATAAACTATATGAATACCTTCAGATGAAAAAAGACTGAAATAAATTTTAAAAAAAAGTAATCTTAGCAGTGTGTATATCAATTTGTTTTAAACGATAGCAACCTTAACCCTACCAGACCGCTGGCCCGATTTTCCGGGAATATCCTAACCTGCAGCTATACCATAGCCCACTTTTCCGGGAATTTATGTAGTACGTGAAAAAAATGCGTCACCGACTAAAAATAACCAGCCAATCACCATCAGACTTTGTTTTTAGTCATTGTGAATGACTTCCCACGTGTGTTGAGATTTCTCTGTGTGGTTTGATATTTAAAAAATGAAACAAGCGGCTTCAACAAGAAAGTGACGTAGGTCTAGGCTTTTTACACCAAACAGGTGATCAATACTTTGGTTAATTCAGACTGAATAAGTTCATGAAGAATACATTCCTAATGGAAGTGACAGTCAGTGAGAGCTAGAGTGAGGAGGAGAATTATGAAAATTATAGATTTAAAACTAGATCGATAGTCAGTAAGAGAAGAGAGCGTGTCCCTCAAACAGCAACATCTGGTGCTCACTTTGTAAAACAAGACTGATCCTACTAGGTGGATTGGCACACAAAGGTGGAAGATTGGCGCTAGATGAAAGGTAAACCTATTTTCTACAATATCTCCAAGTTTTATCTTATTCTAACCACTTGTTTGCATGTAACAAATTTTTTTGTACATCGTGTTGGATTTTCCGTGTTAATGCCCAGGAGCTCAGGTTATAGGGACAGTTAGGTTCAGGGCCTCAGGCTGTTAGAGTTAAACGAAAATAATGTTGCGAGCTCAGCCAAATTAAATCACTCAAGAAAAGGGATGACTGAAAATATAACCTAAGAAATCCTTGCAGTATGTCTGAATATTAAATAGTTTAAAACAGACACAAAATAATGTTGCAAGCTCAGTAAAAGCAAATCACTCATATACATCAGAAGCAGAACTGGATACAATGATTTTCATCATCGTTGCAACACTAAAATAATTAACAAAATTAGGGTCAAACAACCTCACTAACTTTACAGCAACTGATATAAAGATTTATGAGCAGCAGAACTGGATACAATGATTCTCATCACTTTTGCAACATTAGAAATAAAGAGATACAATTGGGTGCTCACTGGTTCTAGACAGCTTATGGAGTGTTGTATCTGTGTGGTTTTTTCCATCTGAGCCTGATCTAAATTCCTGAAACCGTTAGATTACAAAATCTCCATCTGGATGGCAGACCAACAGGACTTATCCCAGACACCCATTCAACCTCTAAAGATCTTATAATAGGGACATCCGTAAGGGCCACACCAGCCTGGAGCAACCAACTGTCCTAATGCAGATAAAGGCATATCAAAGATGCAATGTGTTGAATTTTCATGTGAAACTGCAGCAATTATGGAAATACCAGTCTGCAAACATAAGAAATTCTCTACAAAGTAAGAACAGTTAAATTTGTTGCTGTAGGCTTTTATAATATGCATTTATATCACTTGAAGTCATAAAAAAAACACCTAAAATGAACAGTGCAGAGAGAAACAAAAAGGGCTGTACTAGATTCGACCCACGACATCAAAAGGATTGCATATGACAATAAACTGAAGGACTAGGCATGACAGGAAGACGGCGTTGCTAAAGAACATTGACTAAACAATAAACCTCAGCAATCTTAGCAGTGGGTATGTCATCAATTGGTTTTAAATTGACAACAGCAAGCTAAACAAATGCTGCAAGCTCAGCTAAAGTCAATCACTCATATACATCAGAAGCAGAACTGGAAGAAGTGATTTTCATCATTGCTGCAACATTAAACTCATTCAACGCTAGTTCAAAACCTCAACTGAGAAAAAATTATAAAGTTTAAAATAATTGTACAGCCCCTGATATTCCCTAAGATATGTCGAAACTCAGTTAAAGTGAATCAGATTTATCAGCAGCAAAACTGGATAACTGATTCTGCAGTTGATATTTGTCAAGAAGTGACAGGGTAGAAGTTCAGTGATATAACTCTTTCGGGTCCAAGATAGAAATAAAATTGGTGCACCTTGTGTTCACTATAGGCTATTAGGTAGGAACCTATAAAAGCATGACATGTTCCTTGGGACTGAAAGATTGAGAGAAATGCAATTAAAACATTTTAAAACAAAGCTGCTCTTAGTCACACTCTCCACTGCCATAGGATGTGATTCCAGTGTCTCCCTTTTGCACAATGGAACACACTTAACGAGATGGAAAGGCACCAATTAGCAATAAAAACGAGATAGTCACTGACCAACAACCTGTGTGGGTTCCAGGGCCCACTGTGGCAAAAACAAGAATCTACTAATTGAGCGCTTCCTTAAAAGTCGTAGTGCATCTGCCTAAAAGGCAAGGAACCAACAATCTGCATATAATTAAGTAAGATCTGTTATAAAGATGTGCACACAACATGCTGGTTCTGGAACAAGACAAGCCCAGAGGCAGACAAAGGACAAGAACTTTCTGCCAGTGTTTACAGCCAGTGAACGTGAACAAGACAAGCCCAGAGGCAGACAAAAGGACAAGAACTTTCTGCCAGTGTTTACAGCCAGTGAACGTGAACAAGACAAGCCCAGAGGCAGACAAAGGACAAGAACTTTCTGCCAGTGTTTACAGCCAGTGAACGTGAACAAGACAAGCCCAGAGGCAGACAAAGGACAAGAACTTTCTGCCAGTGTTTACAGCCAGTGAACGTGAACAAGACAAGCCCAGAGGCAGACAAAGGACAAGAACTTGCTGCCAGTGTTTACAGCCAGTGAACGTAAACAAGACAAGCCCAGAGGCAGACAAATGACAAGAACTTTCTGCCAGTGTTTACAGCCAGTGAACGTGAACAAGACAAGCCCAGAGGCAGACAAAGGACAAGAACTTGCTGCCAGTGTTTACAGCCAGTGAACGTGAACAAGAAGACCCATCAAAATACTGTTAAACACTAAAAGAGCCAAATAACATCAATGACCAAACTAAATAGTTACAAATGCTCATTTTAACAATGTTCAAGCTCAAATCACTCAAATTTTTCAGCAGCAGGACTGAATAAACAGCTACCACAGCAGCCACATATATTAATGAATGTCTTCAGCGTCACAGCGGTACAGAAAGAATATCTTTAGGCGACCTAACGTTGAGTCCAACTTTTAATTCCAATGTAGCCCGACCTAAACCCACTGCAGGCTGCGTAGATTTGTATCATGGTATCGGGTGTCGCAAGTCGACCCAGCCTAAAATGGGTACTAGGTTGGATGTCCTGAGGAAGTAAAGATGGCCAGCGTAATGCTGACCACATTACCAACCTAGAGCTGATTTGTCTGTAAAATATGGGTGCTCTTCCCCTTTGCCAGATGTGCCCAAGGCGTGAGAAGGGATATTTAAATTTTTTTTTCAGGTGACCTGAGACAGATGTGTGTCCATGCAAGCACAATTATACAAATGGCAGGTTAAAAAAAAAATAAAGCATAACAAACAAATTTACAGATTCTAGTCAACATTCATGCTCTCTAATTCCTGTACTTATATAACAGTATATATGATTTTTTAGGCAGGTCTTTGCGGTGAAGTTGTCAGGCAGTTTGCCTTGCACGCTGACAAAGGTTAAGTTTGTTCCGCGGCTGCATCAGTCGGTTCACGGAGACACATGAGCAGCAGCGCCAGAGCTTAGGTATTTGTGCGATGCTCTCAACTATTTGAGAGGTGAAAAAAAGATGCTGGTGTTAGGACACACGTCTTTGCACTGCAACCCACAGGGTCACAGAAAAAGAAAAAAAAGACCAAAAAATTCCTGGTGAAGGGAGCTAGACAGTGAAGTTAAAAAGATAGGGAAGTCATGGGAAGAGCTGTCTTTGATAGCGAAGAATAGAACGACTTGGCCTGAGGTAGTTCGGGGCTAAAAAGGCAGAAGAAACTACTTCAAGCTTTGGAGATACAAGCTTTCAGTGACTGTCTCTCTCACACACACAATTATTACCTACCAGAACAGACTAAATTTCTGCACAACCCCTGTCTGAAGTCATGGAAGACACGGTTCCTGTGCTGCTGATTCATCTTGGCATGGATGTAATAGCAGGAGTAGCCCAGCTCCGTGATTTTCTTAGCCAAAAGCTCTACCCGCTGGGTGGAGTTGCAGAAGATGATGGACTGGTTGATTTGTAGCTGTGGAAATGTCAGAAACAATGAAATTATTCAAAGCAATCCTTAAGAGCTTGTTCATTCATTCTCTAACATGACCATATTCTCTACCATTGATCTCTTATGGAAGCATCAATGTATGCACAGTGGGAGTCATGATGGCACAGTGGGTAGATGCTTAGCTACAGCCCATGGGTTTGAATTCACACTGAGGTGGATCTTGATAAATGAACATAAGACTCCCAAGCTGAGATGTTAACATTTTTGAGAATTAAGATGTTGCAAACTCAGTTACTTGTAATCATTCATTTGCATCAGCAGCAGAACTGGATATACCAGTTTTCATCATTGTTGCAACATTGGGGGGAGGGGGGGGGGAGAGAGAGAGAGAGAGAGAGAGAGAGTACAAAACAACACAACATTTGACTGTAATGACAGTGAGAAAGAAAAAAAAAAAACACTACTTGTGACAGTAACAATGAATACAGAAAGATACTATTTGTAACAGTAACAATAAACAGAGACAGTAAAGATCAAACATAAATTGGAACAATAACAATGAACAGAGAAAGATGACAACACTACTTGTAACAGTAACAATGAACAGTGAAAAAAAAAGGTGGAATATTATATGTAACAGTAACAATGAACAGAGAAAATAAAGATGGAATATAATATGTAACAGCAACAATGAACAGAGATTATAAAAATTAAATATTATTTGTAACAGTAACAATGAACAGAGAAAGTAAAAAAATAACAACACTATGTGGTGTTAGTAACAACGAAAAGAGAAAGATAAAACAACACTAGATGTAACTGCACACTCAGTTCTATGTAATCATTCATTTGTATCAGCAGCAGAACTGGATATACCGGTTTTCATCATTATTGCAGCACTGGTGGGAAATATGAAACAATACACCTGACAGTAGCAATGAAAGTAAAAAAATAAACACCACTTGTAACAGCAACAGTGAATAGAGAAATATTTGTAAAAGTAACAATGAACAGAGAAAGTAATGATAGAAAGATGGAACAAATTGGATTGTGCAACAGTAATGATGCAGAGAAAAATTAAACGACACTACATGCAACTGCATTCTCAGTTCTACGCAATCATTCATTTGTATCAGCAGCAGAACTGGATATACCGGTTTTCATCATTGTTGCAACATTTTGGGAAAATATGAAACAGACAGTAACAATGAAAATAAAACACTACCTGTAACAGTGAATAGAGAAATATTTGTAGTAATAACAATGCAAAAAAGAAAGTAAAGATGGAACACTACAGTAAGAACAGAGAAAGTAAAGATAGAACACTACAGTAACAGTAAATAAAGATAGCAAAGATGGAACAAATCTACATTGTGCAACAGTAACAATGCACAGGGAAAGAGAAAACAATAACTGCAATCTCAGTTCTATGTTATCATTCATTTGCATCAGCAGCAGAACTGGATATACCGGTTTTCATCATTGTTGCAACATTTTGGGAAATATGAAACAACACTAAACCTGACAGTAGCAGTGAAAATAAAACACTACTTGTAACAGTAACAATGAACAGAGAAAGATAATATTCCTAACAGCAACAATGAACAGAAAGTATAGATGAAACAGTAACAATGAACAGAGAAAGTAAACAACACTACATGGTGTTACAAAGTAACAATGATCAGAGAAAAAGATAAAACAACATTACAGTGTTACAATAACAATGAAAAGAGAAAGTAAAAATGGAACAACACTATATGGTGGAACAGCAACAATGAAAAGAAAAAGAACGACACTAAATGTAACTGCAATCTCAGCTCCATGTAATCATTCATTTGCATCAGCAGCAGAACTGGATATACCGGTTTTCATCATCGTTGCAGCATTTTGGCAAATATGAACAGACAGTAACAATGAAAGTTAAAAATAAAACAAAATTATTTGTAACAGTAGCAGTGAATAGAGAAATATTTGTAGCAGTAACTATTAAAAAAGAAAGTAAATATGGAACACTACAGTTACAGTGAATAGAGAAAGTTAAGATGGAACACTACAGTAACAACAAATACAGAAAATAAAGATGAAACATTACTTGGTGAGTAACAGTGAATAGATGAAGTAAAAATACAACACTATACTGTGCAACAGTAACAATGCACAGGGAAAGATGAAACAACACTACATGTAACTGCAATCTCAGTTCTATGTAATCATTCATTTGCATCAGCAGCAGAACTGGATATACCGGTTTTCATCATTGTTGCAACATTTTGGGAAAATATGAAACAACAATTACATCTGACAGTAGCAATTAAAGTGAAAATGAAACACTACTTTTAACAGTAACAATGAATAGAGAAAGATAATATTTGAAACAGCCACAATGAATAGAGAAAGACCATATTTGAAACAGCAACAATGAATAGAGAAAGACAATATTTGAAACAGCCACAATGAATAGAGAAAGATAATATTTGAAACAGCAACAATGAATAGAGAAAGATAATATTTGAAACAGCAACAATGAATAGAGAAAGATAATATTTGAAACAGCAACAATGAATAGAGAAAGATAATATTTGAAACAGCAACAATGAACAGAGAAAGTAAAGAGAAAAAAACAAGGAAAGTAAAGATGAAACATGAAGTTGAACAGCAACAAAGATGAAACTACACAACATGGTGCAACAGTAACAAATAACAGATTTAAAAAAATACATGGTGCAACAGTAACAATGAACTTAGAAAGATGAAACACTACATGGTGCAACAGTAACAATGAACTTAAAGGTTGTTGCGTATCCTTTACAGGACGTTGCAGAACCAACCCTAACAGCCCCTGGCTGTTGTGTGGTTTCTCTAGGCAAATTTACGTCCAGTAGTTTGCCATTGCTTTCTGGACGGTCGGCTTTCTTGATACCACTGTCGAAACCAACGCAAGGCGCATTGCCCGCAGCTGGGATCGATCCCGGCATCACGAAGCGAAGCGTTCGCATCGACTTAGCCACAGAGCCAACAACAATGAACTTAGAAAGATGAAACACTACATGGTGCAACACTAACAATGAACTTAGAAAGATGAAACACTACATGTAACTTACTGCACCCTCAGTTACATAAAAATAAAAACTATACTAGACAGTTAAACTGCATTAACAGATGACTGTCATTCACCAGTAGTTTTTTTCTTTTAGTGGTAAAAACAGAAAGAAAAAAAGTGACGAATTCACAAGTCAAACCTGACAGAAAAACTAACAAAAACTATTTCACTGAGAAAAGATTTGGCACAGCAGACTATGCCAATAAAGCCAACCCATCAAACAAGGCAAAACAATTTCAACGACCAACATATCAGTTTAAACACTGTACACAATATTTAAATGTTCAGAGGGTGTGACGGTAAAGATGTTGCTCACTCAGTTATAAGCAATCACTCATGTGTATCAGCAGCAGAACTGGATAAACTGCTTTTCATCACTGTTGCAACATTACGAAAGATGAAACGATAATGATATAGTAACAACAATGAACAGAGAAAATATGCTTGAAAGATTATGTCATTTAACACTGTTTTTGTTATATAAAAACTATTTTATACAGACATTGTTAATGGACACAAATTTAGTGGCATAGCAGAATTGTCTGCTTGCCAAATGACACTGTGTTTATTATATTAGAATAATCAATTCTAGATGACAATAGAAAATTATAAAGTGCTGTCAGAATAGTAACATCAGTAAGTTTTCTTTAATCAACTTCAAGTTCATGTTTACTTGCAGGAGAACTCTATAACCTCAACTAAAGCAAATCACTTTAATGTATCAGCAGCAGAGCTGGATTAACTGACTGTCATCACCGCTACAACATCAAGAAATAATACGCTGCAAAGCATGTCAGAAAAAAAAAGGTAACTAATAAAGGGGGTTTCCTCCGCCGAAGTCGAAGCTTTACGGCATGAGAGGCCAGGAACCAAAAAGATGCACACCAATAAGCCAGATCTGTAAAATGCATGTGTGTGCAACCCACCAAGTGACGAAACAAGACCAAGTCGAGAAGTGAACAAAGAATCAGAACTTCCGCTGGCGTTTACAGCTGGTGAATGAAAAAAGAATGCTAGCAAGAAAAGCAACCAACCATCACATGTTTGTGGTGGCTACTATTCTTTTTAGTGAATACTGACAAACACCTGATGTTTCAACAAATATCACTGACTGGTTTCCCCCAAGTATTTAAATGAATAACTTTTTCCTGAGGTAGGAGCTTCACAATGTTTAAGAGAAGAAAATGTAACTGTTTTCTTCATCTTTGTGTTTACCGGCAAACATTTCTGGTCATTTGTACAATTATTGATCTTGTTACAGAAATTATATTTTGCATGCACATCCATTTTACAAATCTGACTTATCATATGCAGACTGCTGGTTTCTTGCCTCTCAGGCAGATGCACTCCAACTTCAAAGGAAACCCCTAATTATTCGACGCCTACAGCATGCTAGTTAGAGAGGCAGTGGGTCTGTTCTTGTTTTACCCCAACAATGAGGGCTTTCCAACTTAGAAGATGTAAACAAAAGCAATGACACAAACAAAAAAGCAATGAAGTTCATACAAACCTTAGAAAACAGTGTGTTGAGGCAGTGAACTTTCTGTTTTTCCTGCACAAAAGCATAGTACTGTGTTACTCCCTTCAGGGTCAGCTCTTCCATCAAGTTGATCTCATAAGGATTTTTCAAATGCTTCCTCTGTGGGCGTGAAAAAGTCCACATTGAATATCTAACATAATGTGCCAAACATTGACAAAACACAATGTATTAAAAAAAAACTCTACAAGTGCACACTGGTAATATTTGTTCTACAGCTGCAATTATATCTTTGGAGAAAAAAAGCTATAAAAGTCATAATAAATGCACGCTGGTACCTCAAAATATAAATCAAAACAATTGTGATGTTGCCAATTATCAGTTCTAAATAAGAAAGAAAGATTACAATTGATGATAAAACAATACAGGACTTGTGTGTAACAAAACTAGTTGTAAAATTCCGTCAAAACATTCACACATCCCTTTGACCACAGCTCTTGTGGAAAACAGCACTTCTCATATTCATCTTCAGACTTGATACTGGCTTTCAGCAAGCCCTCTGTAGGCTCGTTCATGACTGGGATTAGGGTTACGACTGGAAAGGTCAGTTAAAACTAATGAGGTCAGATGTATAACACACACTGACCAGTCTTAATGATAATACGTTTGAAAGAAAGCTTCAAAATTAGGTGTGACTCTGTGGCTGTGATTAGTGAAATTGTTCAGTGTAATCTTGTTTTCCAGACTCGATACTCGCCATGAGTGGTTTAGACAACTGATTTGGTGGTTTTCAGAGTTCCACTGTTGAAGCGGGCTTTAGAGTCCCACTGTTGAGAAGACTGGGGCTTCGGAGACCCATTGTTGAAAAGAGTTAGCTGCCGCCTTCTTTAGCCAGTCTTACAACTTGCATGGTAGGTCAGTGTCAATATTCTTTGCTCCCTAATGGGTCCCAGTAAAATACAAAAGGAAAAAACCCTTTAAGGGTTGCAAACATAAATACCAGAATTTGAGCCGTCTGGGTAGAGATTCGACATCACAGCATTCAGAACAAGCCCATATTAGCTCCACTCACTCCTCATCAGCCAGCACAGAGTCCACATACTGATAGTACCTGCTGTCATCTGGCTAACTACTCATCTTGCCATGACCGAGTTTCACCTGTCAGCATACTCAGTTCTCACCAAGAATTTTCCCAAAACTATGTTTACACAAATCCAACAAACTACCCTTGCTCTGATGTAGGAAGAATGACTAAATCATACCATGAATGACTCCACTGAGAGGGGAAATGTAGCAGAGTACAGCATGATTTGCCTGTCATTCGGCAGATGACCAATAATGCTATCCAACATTCCTTTAAAGTCTTGAGACAACAGCTTATCTGCCTGTTAAAGAATGGGGAAAAAAAACATTTTTTTTTAAAGATTAAACTGCCAGCAATGAGGAAATGAGTGGGAAACAAAACAAAAGAACAGAATTATGGAAGTGAGTAAAACAAAAATCACCAATACAAAAGAAACAGTATACATGTTAACCGTAAGAACTTGATTCCCAAATATAATGAAAAGGAAAGAGTTCATCTGCCATAACATTTTCTCTGTGAGTTACTTTCCCCCAATACTAGGACCTGAACACTGTAGTCCCTTTCTTCTTCGCTTTCACTGGCGGGAAAAGTCCTGGTCGTCGTCCACTTTGGATTTGATCCAGAATTTGAGTTTTGCATGCACATTCGTTTTAAAGATCCAGATTATTTCACACCTGAGCACATTCTGTAGACCTGCTCAAAACTGTCCTCAAGAGCAAAGTGTGCAAAGTAAGCTATGGGGAACCACAAAGAGTATGCAGCTGACATGCGAGTTCATAGAGGCAACTGCGAGTTCATAGAGGCAACCCTCTAGATGATCTGACCAGAACTACGAAACCAAACACAAAAAAGAAGCTTTGTACAAATAGGCATATGCGCTCCACCTTCGAAGGAAACACCTCTAACTAGTCACCCCAAAACGGAGCTCCAGAGCCCCCACAGGGAAACACTGTAAGATTCTCCTTTATTCTGTTCCAATCTCCACAGCAATGTGTAGCAGGGGACATACTAAACAGTCATCGCAAAAATACCAGAATCAGTCAAGACCGGGAGAGGGAGATTAGATTTCTTCAGGCGCACTAGATATGAAACAGTACATTTCCACAGAATAATCAGCACTCTTCTTCTTCTTCGTTCACTGGCTGTGAATTTCAGCGGAAGGTCCCGGTTAATCATCCGTTTGAACTTTTGGCTTTTACCTGGACCTGAGTTTTGCGTGTACAAAATCAGCACTCAATAGGTCTTGCTGTAAATATCATGTGAGCTGCATAATTTTCTGAGGACATTTTCTTGTACCCATTTTAGACTGTGTCAACTTGGGGGCATAGGATCATTATTTCTAACAAATCTATTTGAACAGGGACTCAAATCTATGATCACAGGAAAGTAGGCAAGTGTTCAATCTTGAAAAGGCAGCAGCGATCTTTCTGCACGCTGTAACTAGCTGACACTCAAGAGCAAGCATGCTGAGTAAGAATTAACCAACATAACAGCACTTGAGCCACTCTGTGCGCTCTATCCAGCAGCCAGGGCAGAGTTTATATTTTAACAGTACCAGTAACTGACTGTATGGGGCTGCCTTTACTTTCCTCTGAGTACCAGTGATATCCTCTGGTCACTTCCCACTGCATCATTCTTTTAGACTGTGGTAATCTGTGCTCCTGCATTGTTCACTCCCTCCCAAATGGCCCTGATATCTAGACTGTCACGCATTAAGTAACAATTAACCACTGACTATCATCTGTCTGTTCATTTTCCAACACACCTGAATTTGGAGAATATATCCAAAGGACACTTAACTTAGAACATCTAAAGCGATGCTGGCCACTCTGCATGAAGCATGCTCGTCTCCACCTTTCTCAGCAATCTTTGTGGGTCTAACTAACAATTTCTATGTGTGTGCAGCTGGTTATCAAGTCAGCAAAAGGAAAAGTCTCTGTCTCCATTCTTAAACTATTTACTAAAGAATCATGTGCCAGGCTTTTTTTTTTTAACTCTAAGGGAAGACCAACCCTTCACATTTAACAGACCATCAATTCTCATCACAACCGTGACAAAATAAAAACCTATAATTTTTACAAGAGCACTTTACCTCATCCAAAATCAATGTTGCGCAGTTCTGTATCTTCACCAGGCCTTTGTTCATCAAATCAAGAATACGACCAGGTGTAGCAATGATCACATGAACTATAGAAATGGACACAAACAATTTCAGCTGATTAACTACAATTATTAAATATCAAAACTAGTCTCTTTAATCTGCAAATGAGTTCCAATCTAACTAACAGGCTATATGTATATGTTGAACTGGTCAGTCGGATTAATATTTGTAAACACTATTTTCATTCAAATTCGAACAGGATATAAAAACTACACAATCAATATGTGAAAGGAAAAACATCTTTGTTAGCGAGGCATCAATGTAATTGTACAATATTTTGTGTTAACATATCCTCTGCCATTTATTCATACACTGGATGAACTCATGCAAAGACATCCTATCCTTTGCAATTACATGAAGTCCGCCTTATCTTTTTCCACAGCACCTTTTAATTCTCTTGTTTTCTTATAGTTATTCCCTAATGGAGCACAGGCCCCCAACCAATTCATATCAAGTAATCCAGTCACATACCATTACATACAACTCAACCCAGGTCCTTTGTGGTAATTTCATCTTTCTGATTCTCTTTACATCTTCCTTGATCTGTTGTTTTTTTAACGCTGTGGGTTCCAGCCCACATATTTTCAAGTTACTTTGTTAAGAGGCTTTCTTGATGAGAGTTCTATCCTGTCTTTGCTATACCACCCGACATACTGTTATTTAAACCATACACCGAAAAAAACACATACAAAATAGGTTTTATTGTTTGGTGGCCAGAAGGTCAATATGCCCTTTCACTCATTGAGTGTTTGATCAAGAAACTAAAGGCTAGGCCTCCTAATATCTAAAAATGTCTTGCTTGCAGACATGAAAACAGGCTTCTATACATTTTACTAATCCAATTACTATTACCTCCAGAACCAGTTTAAAAAAAAAAAAATAAACTGAATTGAATGTCTAAACCCTCAAGTAGGTAAAAAGGATGCCTCTGTCACAGCCAATTGCTATATCAGTAACATATATCATCCGTCAATAGCTTTCTATAGTAAATATGGTGACAGTTGTGACTTCTTCGTGTTCACTAGCTGTAAACTCTTTCAAAACCTGAGTGTAGCGTGCGCATTTATTTTAAAGATCTGACTCATTTGTATGCAGACTGGATTCCTTACCACTCAGGCAGATGCACTCTTTCAGAGAAAGCACCCAATTAGTCGATTCTTACGACATGCTTTTAAGTAGGTAGTGGGTCTCTTGTTTTTCCCCGACAACAGGGTCATTGAACCCACAAAGTCGTGACGGAAAAGTGGTTTTTTTTGTGTGGCTGCGTGAATACTACATTATGTGTTAGTTGCGTATCCTTTGCAGAACCAACTCCAACAGCCCCTGGCTGTTGTGTGGTTTTTCTAGGCAATTCTACGTCCAGTAGTTTGCCATTGACTACCTTATGACTGCAGCCAAAAATGGTAAATTTCACAAGTCACGTAATTAATTTCACACATACAAATAACCTACATCCTAGGTGTACAGAAGTATTTCACCTCTCTGATTAAATCTTGGCGCATTCAAAATACCAGTTTAATCTTTGAAGGATTCCTAAGCTTGAGTAAGTTGATTATAGTTTACGAGTACCATGATATATGTCTCTATAAAGTTAGCCGCTGTTGCAGGGAGGAAAGATTCAGCTGTGAGACAACACAGAACTAGGCCGTTCTTGGTGTCCAGGTACTCATAGCCCCTAAAACCTAACCTCTCCCTTCGCAAGCTGATAGTTTGTGCCCCACCTGACCCAATACTATTATAAAGATTTCAAATCTAGCAAGCTAATTTATTCTGTCGAACCGACAGAGTTTGGGTCAAATTAGCCGGCAAATTTAGCTGGGTCCCACAACAGCAGGCAAGACGCTGCGACGTCAGAGGTTATTTTTAGCAGACAACAACACAGTGTTTGCGGTGGACAGACTGCGGAGGTATAAAATATATATGTAAGAACGAGATAGAATGTGTGTCTGCAAGTGCAGATGGGAGGGTGGAGAGAGGATGATCTATGTGTATTAGTGTCTATCTATCTCCACTATGGAACTTGTCTCCTATCTCTTGTACTGACTGACAGACAGAGATAGATGAAGAGGGAACTGTCTCATTATCCTGAGAGCTATCCTCTGAGTGACTGGGAAGGGTGGAGGGAAATAAATTGAGCTTGGTATGTGACTCCTAAGATGAATACTAATTCTAAGTACTTCCTGACACAGGATGATACCTGACTGGAAGTCAGGCAAACGATCAACAGTCCAACCAACCACCATCCACCAATAGTACTTACTACCACCACAACTTCAACATGATAGGAGCTTGTGTGAGTTCCAGTGGCTAAGAGGCAGTTGTTGCAGGCCACCCAGCGTCATCACTTCAAGGGATCCTTCTTCAGGAGCTTTGTTGAGCTCCAGAACAATCACTTAGCTCCAGTGAATGAACTGTCAGGGTTTGCAAGAGTAACCAGAAGAGATGACATACCACATGCTCTTTTTACAGGTCCACCTGGAGTCACGAGGATGATCACTGATACTCTCAAGAACTGACTTTGGCTGATTCGGCAGTGCCTTCTAGACTTTGTTGCCTAAGCCCCTATGGCCTGTGAACATCTTACATTGTCTTGATATATATATATATATATATATATATATATATATATATATATATATATATATATATATATATATATATATATATATATATATATATATATATATATATATATATATATGTGTGTGTTGCATTTATTACATCCATTCAGAAGTTTTCATTACTGACTTGAGTGTCCCTGTGTCACTATTCAAACTGTCTAGCTTTATTGTTTGTGTAATTATTCATTTTATTCTGTGTTAACATGGCTGTGATAGTACACTATCATAGACTGGGGGTTATCTTTTTATAGTAGTGGGGGTGTCCAGCCAAGTTGCGCCTAGGATTATTAGATATTTTGCAGTGTCATAACTTGAGTTGCCCTACTCCTGAAATAGGTTGGGCGTATATTGGCCACGGGATTCCCTTTAGACCAATATGAGCAGACGCCTCAACATTATTCTATTTCAGAGTGCTGTTGGTCTGTAAGGAGAAATCTTTAAATCAGGCACGCGACACGAGTGGTATGTGACAGTGACTGCAGCCAAAAATGGTAGATTTCACAAGTCACGTGGTTAATTTCACACATACAAATCACCTACTTTGGGGGTAACAAATGTTAAAGAGCCATACCTGGTTCAGTCAGCCTCATAATATCATCCTTGAGGTTGGTGCCTCCTGTTGTGACCATGCAGCGACAGCCTATGTGTTTGCTCAGCTCTATGCATATCTGACTAGTCTGCAGGGCAAGTTCTCTAGTAGGTACTATGACCATAGCTGAAAGTAGCAATTATATATATAGTTATACACACAATAAGAAAATCAAAACACACAATATGTTTATCATATCAGAAATCGGACAGCTTGCTTAATTTTATAATCACTTAATTGTTTTGCCTGTGTAGGTTCAGGGGCCCAACTGTAAAGAAAACAAGAATAGTCTCACTGCCTCCCAAACAAGCATTTCGTAGAAGTCGACTAATTGGGGCATCTGCCTGAGCAACAAAGAACAACTAACTGCACACAAAAAGCCAGTAAAACTCAGGCCCCTGGCACAGAGCTAAAGTTCAAACTAACAAGCAGACATTTCCGTTGGAGCTTATAGCAGGTGAACAAAGAAGAAGTTTATTTTTTAAATGTGATGCATCATTCCAAACCACCAATGAACTAGCCATTTATCCTTTTTCAAAACGGTGGCACACCTGACATGTGGTACCGGACAAATCAGCATTTGATGGGCAATGTGGTCAACATCACGATCATATGACCTGCTAACTGGTGAAGGTATTCGTCCATCAAATCAGATCTCCGTCTCCGGTCATCTGGATTAGTTCAGACTGATACCACTCCGTTCCATCGTTGCAATTTACCTGTCATCTCTCTCTTAATATTTGTCTGAAAAAGCAGATAGGATCAAAGGATTTTGGGAGCAGCAAATTACATTTTTGCTAACAGAGCATGAACTGGGAGTAAAGGCATGAGAAGCACACTGAATGCAAGAAGTCTTGTCAACCAACAAAAGACTAGGACGCTGATATATATGTTAAAGAGAAAATCCGAACACCTATAAATATGTGTCTGCAGTGCCAAGAAGATAAACCAAATCATTACATAACTAAGACCCAGATTTGTATATAACTGAACAGGATATGAATCCAAGACATTCTGCGCGGCGTAAATAGATCTAGCCACTTTGCTAACCTGACCTACCTCATTTCTGAAGTAAATTTGAAGTAAAACAAAAACCACTGGCTATAATGAAAAGCAAATTACAAAAATGTTATTTGTAGCAGCTAGCATCTTTTTGTCTATACAGGGTGATAGTGCTATAGTGTGCTGTAGCGGGACATACATTACCTAGCCAGACCTGCTTGTGTACATTAAATGCTTCTACATTTACAGCAGGGGACTTCAGGACCATTGTTATCACAGCATGTTCGTTTTTCCCCCCTCCAAGCATCGATGGCCCATGGCGCCCTGTTCACATGAAGCTTTTTTTTTTCAATACATGTATCACGCCCTGTTCACGCTTGCCCCCCCCCCCTCCCACATTTATTGTATGTTAAGTATAAGGCCACCCTTTGTGAGAGACATACCTTGATTTGAAGACTGGAAGTATAGGGGGAAAAATAATTATAAAATCTACTACCACTGGATAAGATTGAACAATTTTTAGACCATATATTTCTTGGAAATAAGTGCAGCTCACACACTGCGCGAGAGCCGCCATTGTGTAGTGGCTAGACGCTCGCCTGCGAATAGGAAGGTCATGGGTTCAGGTCCTGTCAACACCTGTCTTTCAAAAATAACCTTGGCTTCCAGGCTAACCAAAGCCTTTAAAAGGATACCAGGTGGAGCCTTGGAAGCAAAGGCACATCACCCATGTGACAACTGGTCCAAAAATTATAGGTCACATCCTTTATACGGTATATCATAGTAGAAGCCGACCTCCCATCCATCCGTAATTCAGTGGACGTCCTAAGGAACAAACCTCCAAGTGTACCCTCATTGAAAACCTGCTGTGATACCCGCTCCTTGCACTTGCAGAGTAACAGATCACTCAATTTAACACCCACTGACAACAGTTATATTCTGATACAAACCTTGAACTATATTTCTGGTAGTATCAACTTTCTCAAGACAAGGAATAGCATAAGCTCCAGTTTTGCCTGTTCCATTTTTAGCACGAGCCAGAATATCTCGACCAGTAAGGGCTATTGGAATGCTGGCTTCTTGAATAGGGGATGGCTTCTCCCAGCCCTTCTCAAATATTCCCATTAACAGATCCCGTTTCAGGCAAAAGTCCTCAAACTCATTTCCCTTTGTATTTGTCACATCCTGTAGATCGAGAAACAGAAAAACTTTAATCTAAGGCTAGTCATGCTTACTAATACTACCCCAAGCAATGACAAATATAATTATGGTAGCCTTTTCAGAGGTCAGTGTTTGCTATGCATTTATTCCAGTACGGGTGATGAACAGGGTGCTAGATTATCCCACAGGTGCTTAATGTCTCATATGAAAGCTGTAGATGGTAATAATTCGCAGTTTTGAACATGTCTAATCCACCTACTTTAACTTTGCTGGAACCACATTTTCTAATAACTGTACATAAGGGCTATTCGACCGACAGCCTGCAGAGGCCTACTTAGGTGACCGCTGATCACAAGACATCTACAATCTAGTCTTTAAAGACTTGTTTTTTTTATTGGCACGAAGAGGTGTATTAAGACTGCAACGGTTGGGGCATACATATATATTGGCAGATACACCTGCTCGCACACACAAAATCTGAATGGAAGTGGACAGGCAGAGAAGTCGGTGGAGAGATAATATACAGGCAGACTACAAACACATGCAGTCATCATAGAAAAAGAAAAACATTTACAGAGATGAATGCAGGTGGGAGATAGCTGCAGCAATGAACCCCAAGGGCTATGAATGCTGAAACCCATGTGTGGGTTCTGGGGCCAAAATGTAGGGACAACGGGAACAAATCACCAGCCTTTAGATAAGAATGTTGTAGGACATGGGGCATAACTGGGGGCACCCTTCAAAGTCGGGAGTACATTTGCCTGAAAAGCAAGAAACCAAGTCTGCATAAAAATAAGCCAGTTCCATGAAACGGCTGTGCAAGCAACATTCAGGTTCTGGAACAAGACTACAGTCCAGATGTGAACAAATACCCAGAAATGTCCATCCAAGTTTTTAACTAGGAATGCAAAGGAAAAAAAGGGGAAAAAAAGGATAGCAAGAACTAAGAAGTTACTCAACTTCAAAATGTTTCTTTCTATATCTTTGACAGCATTACAACATATAACCAATGCTAAAAACAGTCGATAACAGCCTACAAAAACGTTATATAATCAGCATCATCTTAAATCCTCACCGCAGCAAAAAGGGAAGTGCTACTGAGCTACGATATGATGGAGCAGAATTTAGAAAGAGGCTAACCAAATACTGGGTAATATTATGACACAGATTGCTACTGCTTCAGAGGACAATTTATTGATGGATTGGACAGATGTGCTAGGATGTCGATGTGGAAAACAAGTATCAGCATCATGTAACAGACATTTCAGAATGCATGCTAATTATGGCATCTTGAAAACCACCATCCAGTCTCATCAATGTTCATGCCCAGCTGTCCCTGATAACATGTTTGCCAATGTGCTGATCTACCCCTGCCTTTCTGCCAGAAATGCCAATGTGCCGATCCACCCCTGCCTTTCTGACAGAAATGCCAATGTGCTGATCCATCCCTGCCTTTCTGCTAGAAATGCCAATGTGCCGATCCACCCCTGACTTTCTGCCAGAAATGCCAATGTGCCGATACACCCCTGCCTTTCTGCTAGAAATGCCAATATGCTGATCTATCCCTGCCTTTCTGCCAGAAACAGAACTATATAGCATCCACCAGTAACAACAGAATACTTACTGACGTTCTAATCCTCATATCTGGAGGAGGAAGTTTCAGTTTAGCCTTCCAACCATGTTCATTGCTGTATATTTAAAAAAAAAACAGTGTCAAAGAAATTTAGTTTCTAAATAACATGATTTGATTTCCTATCACACTACAAGGCCATATTATGTGAAAACGATGGATGTAGTTCAACAGACAAATGGTGAGAACATGCTTAAAAGACAAACAGCAATGGGGATGTCTTGAAAGAAACGAAGAGAGCTGACACCTACATTAGAGAATAGCCTTAATTTTTTTGTCATGCAAGAGAAGAGGCACAGTATGACATGTCATGGAAGATCATCTGTGTCAGAGCTGACTGAAAGTATAGGAGATAAAAGATTGTGGATAGACATGACTATCAATGGCACATTACACAGATTTTAAGAAAAAGACTAACATAAATATTCACACCCTCGTAGAAAGATATAAAGGAGGAGAGAAAGCGATAAATACATGGACTGTTTACGGATATGGATGGGGTGAAATAAGAATACTAAACTGATCTGTGATTCACATGTGATGATAAAACATTACAAGTCAAAGCTAATCAAGTATTGGGTCAACTATCTCCCCTGTTGACATACAAGCAGATACCTCGGAGTACTAAAGTTAATCTTATCAGAACTATTTTTTGGCCAAAACTATGCTATCAGTGCCAAATGTGGACACTTACATCCTTCAATGAACGTAAAATTGTGACAACAGAGATGAAATGCCTTAGAAGAGCTGCAGGAGTTTCAAGGTAAGACAGAATACAAAATCATGAAATTAGTTGAATGCTAGGAATAAAGCGAGTATTACAGGTCATCAAAGAACATCAAATGAAGTGGTTTGGACACCTAACAAGAATGCCGTGGTAGTATCTCCCACAGCGCGCTACACTAAAACGTTACAAAGGGTATAGAGCGAGTGGAAGACCTAGGAAAATATGGAGTGATGGCATTCAGAACAGCTTTACAAAAATCACCTCGGAAAATATGGAGTGATAGCATTAAGCACAGCCTTACAGAAATGAACATCAGTCTTAATAGTGCTCTTGACCGAGCTCATCAGCGAACATTACATCTCCCCCCGACACTTCAATGAGGTATAAGGTGGAAGAGAAGAAGAAGTATTCTTACTGCACATAATGTTGATAATTACAAACATGATAAACACGTTTTTTAAACAAAAAGTAAAGGAACTTTGTCCACACCTTTAGGGTATTGGGCATATAAGACTAAGTCTATATTTTATAGACAAATCAACGTTTGGTGCATGACGAGGTCAGAACGCCACCAACCACCTTTACTTTCCAGAACTACACTTGGTAAGCACTCAAGGTTGGGTTGACCTAAAAGTCAAGGATTATTTAGAGGGGGGAAAACACTGGCTGCATCAGGACCTGAACCCACAACCTTCATATCCGCAGGCGAACAAGTAGCCACCACACCACGGTGACTCCCTACCGAAAGATACTATAGGACACTTAACTTCTTGGAGCCTCAGGGATATTTAGAGAGGAAAGCTTAAAATTCCTTCCTCAGACAGCCACCAAAAGTAACCAAGATGTTCTGAAAAAGTATGATCCAAAGACAACTTGTCACAAACTACAGAAGGAGGCATAATCTGTTGAGCACATTAAGAGAAATGGAAAACCGGTACCTGCTGTGATCACTAGAAAGAAAGACAAAAAAGAATACAACACAAGAAGATTCCTGACAGCATTTATTTTGTTATACCATCCTCTACGAACTGTTAGTTACATGCTGTGAGAGATTGCAGGCTGTGGAGAGGCGTCAGCGCCCACACCAGTCGGCAAGGCCCTTGAAAATGATGGACAGGTTACACTGAGTTATTCTCCCCTTCACTCTCCCCCCCCCCCCCCCCCCCCCCCCCCCCCGTATGTGTAGGTACTTCAGTCAAATTTTTAAAATGCCCTCTACACCAATAAAACCAGCACAGTTAGATAGCTGTAAACAATCTCTTTCCAATGGTACCTCATTTAGGCTTGTATGTCATTTCTGAGCTGAGATATGTAGGTTTTTGTGGAGATGAGATGTAAGAAACAGCCGCTAAAACTTGTGACCCAGAAACAAGAAGTTTTTCACTGCGCAGTTCTGTATCGGCTTTGTTGACATTGGACTGTCATTGGACAAGATGGCAGGCAGTGAGACTTAGCTCACTCAGCCGCATGCGATTGCCTAAAAAATGTCACTGTAAATCTAAACAGCCAAAGACGGGAAAGAAATTTTATATGCAAATGTAAAATTGGACGGAGAATTCAACTGTAACTAGCATTACCACATCTGGTAATGTTTAAGGCCTAAAGCCAACCTCGAATTTACCGCTATTTTCAATCAAACTGATGACTAACAGAAAAGCAGAGGAGTCCGGCTGTCGTAGACATGCGCTGTTAATCGGGTTCCCCCGCGCTGTTTTCAGCTATTTATAGCTGGTCCAAATTCCCACCAATCGCGAATTTTCATGAGATTTGGACCCATCCGGAAACAAGCCGAGATTTTCCGAACAAGTTCTGAACGGTTTCCGGGTAACGGAAATTGACGAAAAGACCGCAAATTGTCGAAACTGTAGTCGCTAGTATGTGTTCCAGGACCCCATTGAGGCCATTGTGAGGAAAACAACTTACAAGAATAGACGAGCATGCTGTATGAGTCGACGAGCTAGGGGCTTCCTTCGAAGTCAGAGTGCAACTGACTGGGAGGCAAGGAACCAACAGTCTTCATACAAATAAGTCATATGTAAAATGGATGTGCACGCAACACTCAGGCTCTGGAACAAGACTGTCCAGAGGTGGACGAACAGTTAACTTTCCGCCGGAGTTTAAAAACGAATGGGACACAGAAAGTTTATAAAATAACGTCAGTTGAACTAACAAACCTACAGTGGGTTGCTTAATATTGACTGAGTCAATTTGGATTCATTCTCACCAGGTGTTCATGTACTGGGATAATACTGAGTGAAAATATTTTTAAAACATAACTTACTTTGGATCAGCCGGTCTGTTGTCCTCTTTCAATGCTGCCATCTTGTGAAGAGATGACTAAAAAGTGCTGGCAATGTGTTCTGTTCCAGAAAACTGAATCAAAAGCTACACTCACAACAGATGCTACTGTATACCAGAAACGAGTTTGTGTGAGGTTCTGTCCGAAGATTTTCCCACAGAATAGTATTGTTTGTCAAACACAGATATAATAATCCAATATATGAATCTTCAATCAGTAGCAGAGTATTTTTTTAACAGCTAATACACAGTATTTGTTAACAACCAAAACGCAGTAAATATAACCTTACATTAAACTAACAATTATACAACAAAGACAATGTAATTAGTTCATATGTAGCTTCCAAGAATCAAGAGATGACAGGCTTAATTATTTGCACATCAGATTCTCATCCGTCAATGGCTTACGCTAACAGTTGCTCAGTGAACGCTGAAAACAGAATTTTAAAAAAAATATTTTTATAACAGCTGAATCATATATTATACAATATACAGCGTGGCTATTCAACTAAGTTTACTTGGGGGCCAACATTTTGAAAATGGGAATTGTCACAGGCCATAGGCCCAAGCAAGCAAAGGCACTAAAATATTAATACTACTGGCAATGACATGTGGACAACTTGTTAGGCCTCAGCGGGACAGATAAGGTATACATCATACAAACCATGTGTATAATCCTCTTACACAATAAAAAATTATGCAAACTGATATGTGATTGAAGAAAAGAATAGTAGTCCGTCTTCAAAGAAGTGACTGGCATATTGTGTTGTTTATAGCTAGGCTATATCTTGTGTCATTTCGTCCAACAGATCCGATTTTAGCAGATCTTGGTCGCCTGTTTTGATATGCTGGTTAACCCTTTCGCTGCTATGGACGTCTTTTCCCAATTTCCCGTACGCTGCTACGCCCGTCTTTGGACGTTATTTTTTTTCTTGACCCCCAGTGCTATGGACGTCCTAAGCCGTTTTTGGACTTTTCTTACAGATTTCTGTTAACTCGTATTTTATTGGCTGAAGGGCAATATACATTAACTATATTTAGATTAAACTGACCCATTTACATATGATTAAAAGCACTGGCACGTACTTTTAGGTGTGTTTAAGGTGTGTTTACTGCATGCTGCGTTATCCCGTTGCTTTGTTTACCGTGACAGCGTGGTCGGTGATCTGTGGATTTTGTGCCCTGATATATATTTGTGCTTTTGTATTATTCTACACTTAGTACAAAATGGCAAGAAAACTTGTTAAAGTTGACGAAGAATTTATGGAGTTTCTGTCAAGAAGTGATAGCGAAGATGACTTTGAAATGTTTACTTCTGACAGTGAACAAAACGATTTGACTAGGCCATCAATATCGACTGCTGAAACCGTCGTGTCCAAAAAAAAGCTGTTTGCCTGTCCGACGTCCTCATTGTCGGAATCAGAGAGCAGCGACAATGAAGCGCCATCAAAACGGCAATAAATTGATCAGTTGTCTTTATGAACCGATGATTTGAAACCAGTAGTGTATAATTGTGATGACTCCAGCTCTGGCTGTATTTCAGCTACTGTAAATTCAAACAGTTCAGTCACTAAAAATTCTCGTCTTTCCCGATGGACAGAAACAGATTTGGACGAATTTTTTTTTTTTTTTTGGCTGTCTGTCTGCTAATGCTTAGAACAAAGAAACTCAAAATAGAGTACTTGAGCAAAGACTGTTTGCTAAAAACTCCCGTGAAATAATGTCGGCGGACATATTTTTACTATTGTTGAGAATCTCAAACATTTCTCAGACAACAGTGCTCATGCAGGCGGCGACAGACTACAAGCTTATGCACGTTATTGATAGTCTGCGTACATCAGTCATTATTATCATTCACACAGCAAAATACGTCAATCGGTAGTATAGTGTAGTTGGTATCACGTTCGCCTTAGAATCAGAGGGTCGTGTGTTCAACCCCCGAAGTCGTGTTTTTTTTTGTTTTTTTTTTTTTAATTATTGTAAATTTTCCTTTCAGTTCCTGCTACTTTTCATCAACGGACGACTCAAGTATTATTATTAAATTTTTTATTATTTTGGTATTTAATAACATGGTGACCTCAAATAACTATGATTAAAGTGGCAGCCGTGGTAGGTTCGTCAATCAAATTTTGGGATACGGACAGGGAACAGTTCTTCCCATTAATCCACCCCCCCCCCCCCCCAGTTAGTCAAGTTTGTGGGCCACCATTGTGCCTCTGACTTGTCACCACTCGGACCAACCACACAACTCCCCAGGGTAAAATCTTTTGGGTGTACAAAATAAAGCCCTCACCGCCGACGCATCTCTTGCGTTTGGAGGATAGAAAAGTATTGCGCACAGCAGAGACTTTTTTTTTTACATTGCTTAGCACAGGGCAGACAGCTATTTCCGGGAACGTAGCAGCGAAAGGGTTAAGGGGCCTCCGTAATGCCGAGTTCAATCCTAGCTGTGGACAATCTGTCTTGCATTGGTTTTGACAGCTGACCATTCAAACAGCAATGGCAAACTACTGAAAGTAACATTTGCCTAGAAAAACCACAACAGCAAAAAAAAAAAAAGCTGGGGTTAATTCTGCAACATCCTGTAAAAGGATAGGCATCTCAGTTAACTGTTAAGGGGAGCAGATCAGTAATTGTACACGCCTGAGGAGGAATGACTCATCTGACTGGCCAAGTTAATAAAATCCTAGCTCTTGTGCAAGATACTCAGGCTTGAATCCTCAGTATGGTGGTGAGAAGTTTTTATCCGCCAGGTGCATACAAAACATCCTCCTAACCTGCACAGTTCAGATGAAGATGACAGTATAGTATAAATTCTCAGGCTCAAGAACCTCGGTCTTACACCGCCCTAAAATATGGCACTAGAGGCTGTGAAGATACAAGCTTGAATTCACACAATTATCCACATTTCAACACTGTCATGGAGTCTTTAATTCGATGTCATCCAGTGACATTATGTCAGCTACATGCTTGGGTACTTTAATTGTAATCCACCTTGAAGGAAACTTGGGAAGTTCCAGGGAAAGTCCAAAATTAAATTTTTATAAGGAGTGTTATGCTGGTATAATGCTGGTATTTCATTTTCTGACAATTTAGACCATTAACGTTATGAATCTGCAGTAGCACTCGCCTGCTGGCCGAAAAGCTTTAGGATTCAAATCTCAGTCTAGGTTTTTTTTTTACTGGCCTCAGCCCCTAGGGCATCAGTCTGAAATGTGAACCATATAGGTACTTTGGTCAAATTTGTAAAATGCCCATAACACCAATAAAACCAGCACAGTTAGATAGCTGTAAACAATCTCTTTCCAACGGTACCTCATTTAGCCTTGTATGTCATTTCTGAGCTGAGATATGTAGGTTTTTGTGGAGATGAGATGTAAAAAAAAAACAGCTGCTAAAACTTGTGTCTGAGAAACAAGAAGTTTTCTCTGCACAACTTTCGTTTTGGCTTTGTTTTCATTGGACAAGATGGCAGACAATTTTTCTCAGACACAGCCACATAATAAATAGCGATTGCCTGAAAAATGTCACTGTAAATCTAAATAGCCACGGACAAGAAAGAAATGTTATACACAAATGTAAAATTGGACGGAGAATTCAATTATAGCTAGCATTACCATGTCTGGTAACAGTTAAAGCCTAAAGCCAACTTTGAATACTTAATACTTATCGCTATTTTCAATCAAACTGATGTAACAGAAAAACAGAGGACGTCCGGCTGTCGTAGACATGCGCTGTTAATCGGGTCCGCTCCTACCGTTTTTAGCTGGTGAAAATCACACCAATCGCAAAATTTCATGAGGGATTAGGACGCATCCCGAAACCCCAGCCAACATTTCTCAAACAAGTTTCGAGCAGTTTCCATGGTAACAGAAATAGCCAAAAAGACCGCAAATTGTCGAAACTGTAGTCGCTAAACCATACCACATGTAATGTCGTAGAAAGGTGGATGGCGTCAATTACGCACTTCCGTCGTCTTAAATTGTGCACTTCCGGCACCGCCGAGAGTATCACCGAGCGGCGCGGATCTGGGCTAAACTAGATGGCTGGGACTCACGAGCAGCAGCTGCCTCATCTCCTGCAGCTTCCTTCATTTTATTAGCTCGTGAGTCCTAGCCATCTAGTTTAGCCCCAATCCATGCCGCGGGTGATACTCTAGGCGGAGGTTGCCAGAAGTTCGCAATTCGGCGGGACGTTATAGTCCCTGAAACTGAGGCCCTGTTATATTTTCCGCCTCAATAATTTAGGACCATTATTCGGAGGATAGCCCAAATGTGTTTTTGTCAACCATTACTAATTACAGCATCACTGCCTCAACTGTTTATTATTTACGCTTAATGTGATGGTCTGTCGTTTTCTCTAAAACATATGTTCAGAATACTCATGATGAGTGTGGAACTCAAAAAAGTTATCCTTCCTTAACTTGAGAAATGTTCAAATAGTAATAATACTGAATTAATCAAACTGGCAACACTGATTTTCTGGGTCCTTTTTGTTGTTAGGGAGCAAGAAAAGCCGGATTTTCGAGACATTGTCATGTGGGATAAACATAACTGAGAGACCTCATGTGTTGCAACATAAGACACTTCAAATTGGAAAATTATCAACTCCTGCTAAGAGCCATGGGTCTGGTCTGGGAAGAAAGACAAAAAGGGTCACAGAAAAGTGCTTCGTGGGTCTTCTCTGAATTTTGCTTCTGGGAAACTCAGAAAAAAAAATTTGAAAGAACAGTCACTAGTGTGAGCAAGCGAAATCTTTAACTCTTTAAATCAATTTTACGAATATGAATATACCACCAGCACAACCAATCACATTAAACTTATATTCTAGGTTTTGATCCCGTTCAGCTGTAATGTATTTGTTTAGAAACACACGTACGACGTTATATGTCTGATCGGATCTGTGAAAAATATCAAAATGAAAACAAAGCAAAAATCTTTCCAGTATTCATTGTAGTTCCACAAAAAAAAAAATAATGAAATAAATTAACCATTTTACGTTCTTCATATTTTAGGCTTTAAATC